TTTTGAAAAACGACACTAGTTTCTGGCTGCCAGAATCGCTTTTGAAAAACGACACTACTGATAACGATGCTGTTTTGCGGCCCTAGACAACAGTACCGCTCTATCTATGCAGGCCCGTAGCCAGGGGGGGTTCGGGGGGTTCGAAAGAACCACCCCTTTTGGTGGGAAAAGGTCCACTCTGGATAAAATTTGATCTAGGTTCATGAAGTTTTTATGAAAAAAGGTCCACTTTTTCAGAAAAAGAACCCCCCTTTTGAAATTGCTGGCTACGGGCCTGCTATGGGCCATACACAGTGATCGGGTGAAAGTACGTGTATGCCTTTGGTCGCAATTACCGACACTCACACATCATACATTATGGTAACTCTAAATAGATCGTCGGGAGAAGATAACAGAAGGCCTAGCGACGAACAGACAACTTCCGGTCAAAATTGACAGAATTCCATGAAATTCGAACTTTCAGAAGTTCTGAGCACCTCCATTTCATGAATTTCGGCCAGAACGATCTTTTCCCAAATTTAATTATTTTCTACTGTTCGAAATTCATGGCACATTACCGTATATAAAGAAAATATATAATGCTTCACTTGACATAATGAAACTCGCATATCTACCAAAATAATCCACATTGTCAGTGATATGCTGGGATCACAAATCTGGCATGGCTTTTCTGGATTCTGCTGGGTTTCATTGTAGCATGAATCATTTATACTACAGGTGCCATTCTGGAAAAAAAATATTTTTATTTACTTTTATTTTAGAATATAAATTAATTTCATTATCTTATAACTCATTATCTTATAACAACGCTGTTAAATGTTCAAACAAAAAAAAAAAACAAAACAAAAACAAATAATAATGGACAATAAAAAGGTTATTTTCTCAGTTTTGATGCAATTTTGTATGATGCTTTTAAGCATGCTTTTAAAACACCAAAATCAAAATCAAATTTTAACAAGATTAAGCTCAATCAAATTAAATGGTCGCTATGGATGTATCTGTTTAAGTTGCATAGAAATATGGGCTAGTAAATATGCAAAGCGCATTTTATGTGGACAGTGGTCAGATGTCAAATTGAAGGTCATATATTATTTTCTATTCAAGCTCAATAGTAACTATGGACGTATCTCAGCCAGTTTAGGAGATATATGGGCTGGAAAATTTACAAAGTTCAGTTCATGGTGAACTCCAGTTTTGGAGATGTTACAGCCAGAAAATTTGCTAAGTGCAGTTCATGGTGGAAAGTATATCACTTGACAAGCTCTACAAATTGCAACACACAAGAAGTCTATATAGCTTTTACAGTTCTTGAATTACAGACACTTTTCAGTATTGACATCAAATGGATGCTTCTCCCTTGGAATGATCCCGAATTCAGGATGACAAAAGAAGACCCCAAGGGTAACTTCTCATCACAGCATCATAAATCAGCACTAACAAATATATTTTCACAGAAAATTAATTTTTTTTTACAAAATTTGAGCCCATTTGACCAAATCAGCACTAACAAATATTTTTTCACAGAAAATTATTTTTTTTTTACAAAATTTGAGCACATTTGACCTTGACATATAGGTCAAAGGTGAAAATCTTCACATATTACTTTTTGGTCAGACTTCTACAGTAATTTTTCCAGCAATTCCTTTTGTTTGGGAGATATTCAGCATTTAATTTTCATAATATACTGAAAAAGACAAAAAAAAACAGTCTTACTTTATGAAAATGGTACGATCAAGCTGAATTTCAAACTTGATCGAACTTGATCAGTAATAATGTTCACTCCTATAATTTTCAAAACAATAGGCCTATTGATTTCCTTGAAATTAGTTGTCTGTATTGCATTTGTGATAAACAAAGAGAAAAAAAACAGCATAAATTCCATAAATATGGTCCGATCAAACCGATTTTCGAACTGTATTTTAGGAATTTACAAGTTTGAAGAAACTAAGTCAAATGATTTTCCACTTATCTGTTATCACTGAAAATGTATGGTGTCAATGGCCATGATGACGATGGCAACAAAAGACACAGGTGACTGGCTATATGTAAAGACATAGTGTGTCTGTACATAAAAAGACAATTCACAGACAATAAATTTGTTTGTGATAATTTGCTGAAACAGAACATATCTAGCACCTTGATTGTCCAAGAGGTTCTAGAGGTGCTGGGAGAACAAATGTGACACACGTGACCATCTCTTGATTCAAGGTTGCCAAGGCATTTCCCATCAAGTTCACAAGTTTCATTCTGAAAAAGGAGAATCGTTTACAATCATTTATCTTAAAGGCAGAATACACAGAATCATTTAAATGTCAAATAAATATTAGAGAAATTAACTCAAAAAATTCTTTAATGTGCAGTTTTTCAGTGCAGACTCCAGCTGTTTGGCAGAAGAATTCTTTTTTTTCCAAATTGCACCTTATAAAATCAAAAAGTGCTAAATTAGACAATATAAACTAAACTTTTTATTGCTTGTCTTTATATCATATTTCTTGTCTTTCCTGTCAAGTTCACAAGTTTAATTATGAAGGAAAATACAACAACATTTACAATCATCTCTGATAATTTTACCAAATACATGCAGTAAGTTTTTCTTTCCTTTATTTTTTCAATATGATGCCACAGTAATGCTCAATGCTACATGTGATATTCTCACCAGATCTGTCCACTCTGTGTTCGACACATTGGGATCACATATCTGGCATGGCCTTGCTGGATTCTGCTGGGTTTCATTGTAACATGAACCATTTATTCTGCAGGTGCCATTCTGGAAAAAGAAATTGTATTTTATTTCAACCCAACAACACTAAATGATTAAATATGGTCACTGGACTGGAGATTTATGGGCAATCAATTTCTCTTACTTTGTGAAATAATTAACTGATAACAGAAAGCATCAAAGTACCCCTCAATTCTGGATACAGGTAACAGATTTTTTTAACCAAAAAATATGCAAATTTGGCAGATAAAGAAAATGACTTCATGTCCAAACTAGAAAAGCACCCGGAGAACGCAGACCTCCGCCAAGGCAGCAATTTTTTATTATTATTAATTATTGATTGATTATTGATCCAGATCACCACCAAAAACTTCTGACAGTTCCTGAAAATTTCATCAAAATCGGTCCATAACTTTTTGAGTTATGTTGATGACAGACAAACAAAGAAACAGGGGTGAAAACATAACCTCCTTGGCGGAGGTAAAAATCTTACTCATTTATAATTCAATTACATCAGACTGTGGCTTGTACCTTGATTGTCCAAGCAGTTCTAGAATTGCTGGAGGAACAAACATGACACACATGACCTCTTCTTGATTCTAGGTTGCCAATACAGATCCCTTCATTTTCACAATTTTCATTCTGAAAAAAATATACAAGCATATCATTATTCATAAAAGATTCTTGCAATAATACAATAGTTTCACCAAACTAGATATAATATTTTTTAAAACTGCCCTATTACTCAAGTAAAATATGCTTTTTCTAAATGAAATAACTTCTCACCAGATCTGTCCACTGTGTATTTGACACTCTAGGATCACATATCTGGCATGGCCTTGCTGGATTCTGCTGGGTTTCATTGTAACATGAACCATTTATACTGCAGGTGCCATTCTGGAAACAGAAATTATATTTTCTTTAAACCCAATTTGTTCACTGGACAGAAATAGACAAATTTTATTATTTTATGGACAATCAATTTCTCTAACTCTGTGAAATATTAACTGATAAAAGAAAGTATCATAGTACCTTCCCATTCTGGACACATATAGCAGATTTTTTTACCAAACTTGGCAAATAAAGAAAATGACTTCATGTCTAAAAATCTTATTTATTATTCAATTACATCAGATTGTGGCTTGTACCTTGATTGTCCAAGCAGTTCTTGAATTGCTGGAGGAACAAACGTGACACACATGACTTCTTCTTGATTCTAGGTTGCCAATACAGATCCCCTCAATTTCACAATTTTCACTCTGAAAAAAATTTACAAACATATCATTTTTTCAGAAAACATTCTTGCCATAATATAGTAGTTTCATCAAACTAGACATCATATTTTCCAAAACTGCCATACTACGTACACAAGTACAGGTACGTAAAATAATTTCTTTCTAAATGAAATAACTTCTCACCAGATCTGTCCACTGTGTATTTGATACTCTGGTATCACATATCTGGCATGGCCTTGCTGGATTCTGCTGGGTTTCATTGTAACATGAACCATTTATACTGCAGGTGCCATTCTGGAAACAGAAATTACACTATTTAAGTAACCCTTATTAATTAATTTTTAATATCAATAATGAAAAGACAATTCATAGACAGCATGTCATGTACCTCGATTGTCCAAGAGGTTTGTGTTTTTCTGAAAAATTTGAGTGATGTTCTGTTTTAGTATATATGGTAAAATATGTCATGTAAAAACAAACTGCATTTGCAATTCATTTATCTCCATTAAATACATGTGAAAAACTTCTCAATGTTACAAACTAAAGACAATCAGGATATACAGATATTCCAGTAAAATGCTTCACTCGACATAATGAAACTACATTTATCTATACCAAAATTGTCCACAGTGTCTGTGATATGCTCGGATCACAAATCTGGCATGGCCTTGCTGGATTCTGCTGGGTTTCATTGTAGCATGAACCATTTATACTGCAGGTGCCATTCTGGAGACAGAAACTTTATTATGCCTTACTTTTATTTGAGAATATTGGTTAATTTAAACATATGATATGAAAAGACAATTCATGGACAATAAATTTATTCCATTCTACAATGTATGTGGTAATTAACTGATATCACAATATATAAACCCATAGTACCTTGATTGTCCAAGAGGTTCTAGAGGTGCTAGGAGAACAAATGTGACACACATGGCCATTTCTTGATTCAAGGTTGCCAAGGCATTTCCCATCAAGTTCACAAGTTTCACCCTGAAAAGAAAACAGCAGCCATTATGAAAATACACCTTAAAGTATTTAATTACCTTTTTATCATGTCATACCATCTAGTTTTCCCCTGATAATAAAAATGAATCACAGACAACTATACATGACTATATGACCAAATGCATATATTTTCGATTCTGATCCAACTAATCTTTTTAATATTCAGCCATAGTAATGCTGTATGATATTGCATCAATTTTTCTGAATGAGATATTCTTACCAGATCTGTCCACTGTGTGATTGACACTACAGGATCACATATCTGGCATGGCCTTGCTGGATTCTGCTGGGTTTCATTGTAGCATGAACCATTTATACTGCAGGTACCATTCTGGAGACAGAAATATTACTTTTTTTATGCTCAAAAGTACTGGGTATTTCAGTGTTAGAGAAATATGGCTATTACATTTTTCTTAGATCCTTAAAGGAACACCATGTTACACAGATACATGTAAATACTACATGTGAAGTCTCTTCAGAAACATTTGTCTTTTTTCAACAAAAGTTGTTATGGGTTTCTCACCAGATCAAACCATGCCTCTGTGCTGTACTTAGGGTCACACAGCTGACAGGGTTCTGTAGGATTTCTGTCACTATTGTTATAGCAAGTATAGTTCACAAAGCATGTTTCATTCTGAAAGAAAAAGGAAAAACATTCTTTCTCATTTAGTCCTAAGATTAACTTGACATATGTTTATCATGTTTTCACACTGTTGAAGAACTTTTAATATCAAATTAACATTCAGTATCAACATTTATTAAACTTTCTAATAAATCAATTAACTCACCAGGAGCACCCAATCTGTGATGTTGACAGCTGGGTTGCAGACTTTACATGAATTTCCTTCCTGTGCATCTCCCTCGTGATAACATGTCCCATTTATTCTACATGCACTGTTCTGAAACAACATATTTTCTTATAACAGTATGGCCTTACATATGATAATGCATAACCTGATAAACAAAGTTAACAGCTTATTCAGACAATTCCAGATTCACAGCAGTACAGACTGCAGAGATAAAAGTTGATGAATCCACTCTCAGCCCTTTCCCAAACCTGAAGAAAAACATACCTATGCCGGTAAGAGCATGACATAAAATTCTTTAAATATTGCAGGAAGGCATAACAAGGTGGTGGCAAACTTACATTCTAAATAAGCTATCTGCCAGTATATAATTCATATATCAGTAGATGACCCTCTTCTTGTTCCCCTGAATTAGGCATTGTGCATTTACTCCATATAAAGGATACTTGTACTTTGTTAAGTTATCAATATTCAATTCAGTCATACAAAAATCACCTATTTTTGTGCAAATTGTATGTTCCAGAGGGGCACATTGTCCCACTTTGGCCAGTAAGTCAATTATTGTAGCCTACATCCCAAATTAATTCAAAATTGCTGCTTATGATTTTTGTTTAGTGCTACATGTGCAAGCTATACAAGCTAATTTACCTGTGTATACCAAGCAGTTTTGTTCCATGATGGGATGCAAATCTTACAAGGGTCATCAGGATTTGTGTCATTTTCCTTATAACACATTTCTTCAATTCTGCATGTTCCATTCTATAATGCAATATAAAACAGAAAATTTCACAAAAAAACTGAGCTTAACCAGTTAACAATTAACTTATTGAAATGAAATGGCTTGTTTTGGAAAAACACTTCATTATACATGAATCATAAAAAATTACCTTAATATCCCAAGAATTCCTGTTCTTATCTGAAGAACAAACATGGCAAAAAGACCCTGTCCTTTCTTGACCATCTGTGTAACACTGGTTGTCAATGGTGCAGGTATTGGGCTGAAAAAAGGAACTGGCACACACACACATATATATATATATATATATATATATATATATATATATATATATATATATATATATATATATATATATATATATATATATATATATATAAAATTCTGCTGATGATGCTACTGCTTGTATTTATTCTCTGTATTTTGTTGTATATGTATCACACCAGCCAGTGTTATATACCTGTAATCCAAATGGTACCAACTAGTGGTACAATATACACTCTCAGGTACCAGCTAATGGTGGTATAATGTGGTAAAAGTTTCAGCTTGACTACCTAGTATCCAAAATAAATAGTAATTTGTGGTTTTATTGCAAGATCAATATTTGAATATGCAATGCAAATGGCTACTTGTACCAGTGCCAAAATGTAATCAAGAAGTTTGGCCATTTCTACAAATGCAATTTGTAAACTGGAAGATCAATTGAGTTTGTAAATGTGAACACTAGGACTACAGGTAAAAGTGGGCAGGATTTAAGCTATGTTCCATCTTCTGTTCACTTATGCACAAAACTTTGTATTTATCAATTAATTCCGTTAACACTTAACTTCTGTTCATTTAAGACCTGAATTATGCCTAGACTTCTTGCACCAATAAACTAGAGGATCAGAGAGGCGATACCGCCTCCGGATATTGTACCACCAGCTGGAGTAAGCGCATTCGTATGGACCCCCCACCCCTCCAAAAAGGGACACCATCACCAGTCTTGTGCTTGACAAGCTCTATAAGATGCAATCAATAAGAGTTCTCAAAATATGCAAAAAAATATAACTAAAAATGGTATAATCAAGCAGATTTTCGAATTGACTTGCATTTTCCTACCCTTGATCACTCCTGTATTCTCTAGACAAAAGGCCTATTGGTTTTCCTTGAAAAGTGTTGTCAATGGTGCATATATGCTGACAAAAGAGAAAACCTAGGGGCAACAAGGGGCACATCTCTGCTAGTTTTAAAGATATGAGAGGCAAGAAAATATGCAAAGCTCAGTTCATGGTGAAAAAGTAGGTCAAAGGTCAATTTCAATATCATAGTATATGAATTTCTATTCAAGTTCAATAGCAACCATGGGTATTTCTTTGCCAATTTTGCAGATTTAAAGGCCTGAAAACATGCAAAAAGCAGTTCATCATAAAAAGTAGGTCAAAGGTCAATTTCAAGGTCACAGATTGCTAGTGTATTACTTCCTATTCAAGTTCAATAGTAACTATGGACCTATCTCTGTCAGTTTTGGAGATAAAGGAGAAAGAAAATTTGCAAAGTTCAGTTCATAGTAAAAAGATGGTCAAAGGTCAATTTTAAGGTCACAGTAAATTGCCAGTATATGACTTCCTATTCAAGTTCAATAGTAACTATGAACCTATCTCTGCCAGTTTTGGAGATAAAAGGGAACGAAAATTTGCAAAGTTCAATTCATGGTGAAAAGTAGGTCAAAGGTCAATTTTATGGTCACTGTTAAATTGCCAGTATGTGACTTCCTATTCAACTTTAATAGTAACTATTGACCTATCTCTGCCAGTTTTGGAGATATAATGTTACAATTCTGAGTTACAATAATGTGCCACCACAATGTACTTTTTAATACAGCATAACACGAAAACCGTATGAAATACAAAAAAACGGAGACCATATGCAATGTTGGGCTTTACATGCTCTACAAAATGCAAAAAAGAACGGGTCGCTAGCATTAACGGTTCCCGAATTAGAGACAGTTTTCAGTTTCGGTATCTTATGGCCGCTTCTCCCGTGAAAATGCACCGATTGACCCCAAATTCATGGAGATGAAAGAAGACCCAAAGGGTAACACTTTCCAATAATATAATTGGTTAAGTCTGTGTAGTGTCTGAATAACAGCGCAAATAATATTTTTTTTTGTAAAAAATTTCATGTTTTTGAAAATTTTGGCCCGTTTGACCTTGAAATAAAGGTCAAAGGTCAAATCCAAGGGCATATTTGAAATCTACACATATGACTTTTGGAAAGCCGTCTGTAGAAATTTTTCCCATAATTCCTTCCGTAGGGTAGATAATTGGCATTGAATTTTCAAAAAATTTGACAAGGGTGCATTTCAACGAGCGTCACGCCCAGGTTAATGCACCGACTGAGACAAAAAAACCTGGGGGTTCAAGTTGAGGTTATATGTGACCTAAATCCAAGAGATGGGGACAGGGGTCCTTGCGGTCTAGGAGGAGAAGCGGTAACGGTGACTTGTATCCGGCGCCAGTACGCGGAGCCGGCGGAGCTTACGGAGCCAACGGAGCCGGACGAGACGGGTCGGGACTAAAACCATGAGTACCGCCAGCGTACACGCTGGCGGTACTAATTAAAACTAAGGAAATTTTAAAGTGATTGTTACATATACCAGTGCAAAATTTAAAACACGGGCTATGTATAAAAGATGTAATATATTTAGGCACAAAATGTATCAAAAGCAAATTAATTTCACACATGATTTTCTCATCACCATGGATCTAAAATGATGTGTCTGATGACAATTCAAGTTTAGATGACTGCGCTTAAAAAATTAATGCCAGGACTTTCTGCACAGGTAAGAAAATGTACAATACCTTATAATTGGGGAAATTTTAATGTGGTTGTCACATACTAGTACAAAAAAATTAAAACATTGGTTTTTGAAATAAAAGCAAATTTATTTTACTCCAAACAATTTGTCTGATGACGATTCACTGTTAAGACGACTTTTCTAAAAAAGATAATGTGCCAGTCAATGGGACCAACTATGGGCCTTTACTTGCCAGTGACCTACTGCAGTTGCTGTCTGAAAAGGGTTACATACCCGAAGATACCAATCACTAGTAGTGACATTAGGATTACAGATTTGGCAGGCATCACTGGGGTTTTGTTCCTCCTTATTAAAGCATTTACCGTTTATGCTGCAAGTTCCATTCTGAAAACAACCATATACAACTAATTTTGGAGAACTTAATATGTTCATAGTATTATGCTTAGCAGACACATATGGCTGCAGATATATATAAGGTTCTGAAAAGACATTATTTACAGATGGAATGATGTACTATTTCTTCAGTTATACTATATCCTGAAATCAATCTCTTCATTACTTAAACATACTATTTTCATTAAGAGAACAAAAAACCATATACCTTATTCAAAAGTAGTTTTTTGTTTTTTTTAGTAAAAATATATCTTGTTACCTTTAATTGGCATTGTGATGGCCCATCACATTTGTAGCATTTAGAGTCATACACGGCCACTTTCAGAGGATGACTGTAGTTGGTACCACTATTACTGATGCTGATATTGTAAATCTTTATCACTTCCTCACTACTGATATCACTCCTCTTCTGACGCAATTTTGGGAATGGGCAGATCACCTCTTCTTCATGTACGAACTCTGCTTCATTATATTCAGTTATCACATCAGATGCCTAGTGAAAAAGTTGAAAAACTGCAAAAGATTTCTGAGAATACTGTTACACTATGTAATTATATAGCCATCTTAAATAGTTGATATTTTCAAAGATTTTCTTTATTAGATATAAAAATATTGCAACTTGCAATCAATCCAACTTACCGTTAAATGTTCCGTTTTACAAGACAGGTTGGATGACTGTACAAATGGGCCTCCATAAACTGGAGTTTCAAGACATGGACGCTGAGAAATGTCACAAAGCCCATTTGTTGGCATATAAAATAAGTCAGGAATAGTATCCCTGCTGATAGAACAATCACTTGACACAAACCCTGGGTAGCATTCACAGCTACTGGTACCTAAAATGAGTGAAAATATCTGCAGTCTAGCATATAATCATGCAAACTACCATTCCAAAATGATCTTAATGATCAAAAATTGTTTCAAGTAACATAATTGATGAAATTTAAAAGTTCCATAAAAATATACTACTGGTACTGTCTAGAAGAGAAATTTAAAGCAATAATAACTCTTCCTTTGAGATTCAAAAATCCGCATGAAATACATTGTAAACAACGCATGGAAATATATTCTATTGTATTTTACCACTAAAACGGCCGTTATTGTAGGAAAACTAAAATCTGTGCTTGTCAATAGGGCTTTCGATCATTTTTTTCCGGTCGACAAGTGCATTCGTTGCTAATGACGTAATGGTGTCACGCGGATTCTCGCGTTCATTCGAGACCAAAATAACATGGTGGGAAACCCTCAGACGTAAGTGCGTCGGATAACGAAAAGCCCAGAATGGCACACATTGTGGATATAAATGCATTTTTAACAAAAAGACGAATATATCTCATGAATCTTATATAGTGTTGTTGTTGTCTGCTTTTCCCGCGGTTTTAAGTAGGTCACCAGTGACTTTGCAATGTCAGAGAGAGCTCCGTCAGTTAAAATCTCTTAAGAGATTTTAACAAAAAACCGTACGTTTAGGAAAAAAACCCTGGATTAACTTTGAATGCAGGAATGGGGTCGTTGGCCATTGGTAAGTACGGGAAAATTGCCGTTTTTTCCAGGAAAATCCAATTTTTGGCCAAAACGAAGAGTTATTATGACTTTAA